ATGGCCCCAAAGCATAAGAGTAGCGATGCTGGCAATTCCAATATGCCAAAGAGAAGCTGTAAAGTTCTTCCTTTGCGTGAAAAGGTGAAGGTTCTCGACTTAGTATGGAAAGAAAACGAATTGTACGCTGAGGTTGCTAACATCTATGGTAAGAACCAATTTTCTATCTGTGAAATTGTGAAGAAGGAAAAAGAAATTTGCACTAGTTTTGCTGTTGCACCGCAAACTGCAAAAGTTACGGCGACAGTGCATGATAAATGTTTAGTTAAGACAGGCAAGGTATTAAATTTGTACAATAAGAAATTTTGCGACAGAGGCCACAGTCACAGAATTTTTATTACAGTATATTGTTATAACTGTTCTATTTTATTATTAGTTATTGCTATTAATCCCTTACTGTGCCTAATTTATAAATTCAACTTCATCATGGGTAAGTATGCATAGGAGAAAACATAGTCTACATAGGGTTCAGTACTATCCGCGGTTTCAGGCATCCACTGGGGGTCTTGGAACGCATCCCCCGTGGATAAGTCGGGGGGACTACTGTACAATATTAGAAGGTCCTATCTTCCACCCCGCCCCGCCCCTGGTCTTGCCTGTCTGCCTTCACTTCTGTTACTTTTCTTTTTCTCTGCCTCTATTCTATTCACACTTGTTGCTTCTGAAACATCCCAAAGTCATGTCCCATCTCTGAGCCTCAATATTCACCCACTCGCTCCTTCCAGTCTTTGCTCCAGTGTTACCCAACGAAAGGAAGCTTGGCTTTCCTATTTAAAACCGTAAGCCTGTGCCTCACCCTTATCATACAAGCTTATTTGTTTCTTTCCTGTCTCGCTTTGCTAAAACATAAGCTCCATGAGGGCAGGGATTTTTGCTCATTGCTGCATGCTCAGCATCTAGAAGAGTGCTTGGCAAACAGTAGATGCTTACTGTTAATTGAATAAATATCAATAGTTGCACAGGGGTAGAAAAAAATGTGACTTATCAAACAAGTTTTACTGAGCAGTGTAAGTGACTTCAAAAATAACAAAGATAAGGCATGACACACTGAAACAAACAAGATCAAATGAGCTTTGGGACCATAGACAGAGCTGCTGGGAAACTAATAAAAACATTAAAAAGCATTTTCTTAAATTATGAGTGCTCTAAGACTTCTAGTTGCAATCTAGCTTTTCATGGTCTCAAAGGCTGCTAAGAAACATAAAGCTGCTCATTTCGAAATAGAGTTAAGAATTATGGAAACATATTTCCATCCTTCAGTGGATTCAACTTTTCCAGAGTCAGAGACATAAATGGGAATCCTAGAGTTCCAAGAAAATTATTGCAAAGTCCCTGCCTTCTAGCCTATTACATACTCAACAGGAGTCATGGGCCTTTTCTTCCGTTTCCTCCTTTGTCCTTCATGGGAAACCCGGGAAATTATACCAAAAATCTGCAATAGCTGGCACTAGTTAAAATTCTTAAGAATTGTGTTTTTTTTCTATGAATACCGTATCACAGAAAATATTTCCTTCCAAACAAACAAAAATAGTAACCAATAGTAACTGTTTCAGTGATCCTTTTGAAGGGGTTCGAATCAAAGAACAAGGTGTAGGACTATATTAAACCACGGGTTGTTAATATCTTCCCTGCAAGATTTGTTTTTTTATATCTAGGAGGAACAAGCAATTGCCAGCAAAGCTAGAATAGGAAAATCAAATACTCTGCCTATTTACACATGGTTCCCTAAAGCCATTCCTGATTAAAAACTGTACAATTTCAATCCTCCTACTGGAGACAGCCATTAACTAGCACTGCTTGAATTTAGTATATAATTAATGATACATGTATCCTATACCAATTACTTCTCAATGACCTCTACTGGCAGAAATAAACCAAGGAGGGATGATTGGCTCATTATAAATCTATGTGAAGATTTCACTGGGAAAAGGTATTGAGAGCAAAGTCCTGAAAGATCTTAAGCTTCAACTGAATTTAACTTCAGCACAGCAG